GGGCAAAGAGAACATTGCTGGGTTACCAGTTTAGGGCAACAGTAAGTCCTTTAAAAATTTGTTGTAATGCGGTCCAGATACCATGGTGATGGATATCTAAGAAATCCTGGTAATCAAGTAACTCTTAAGTGCTCTGGAAATTTGTGTCTGGATTTTGTACATTAGGATTGGGACGTGGGTTTGCATGTCAATGTGTTTAAGACTCACACAAGAAATGCAGCCCAAAGCTTTATATTGCAACACACTCTTGGGAGATGTTGCAAGTGTCAGAAAAACCACTATGGTTCTAGAATCAACATAATAGGATCTGTAGTGTAACCCCAGAGGATATCAAATTCTCAAAAGTCAGGACATTTCCAGTAAAGACTGCCTCTCTATCCTAAACATCTCCTGTTTGGCCACTATTTTGATATACCTGGTGTGATGAAGTGGGAATGTTCTTAATGTTTTCTCTGAATACTGTGTGGGTGCCTCAGTTTCCCCTATACATTTCTCAAGTATCTAGGTGGTGGGATAAGGGTGTGTGATTGTTGCAGAGCCAAGAGAGCCAGTGTGATGTTGTCTGCACAGAGAATGGCCGACACCCTGTCTCCTGATGGCCTGGGCCCCTCCCCTGCAAGGGTGCCAAATGAAGGTGTTGGAGAACAAAGATCAGGTGGCCTCCTGGCCCAGGAAAGAGACAAAGGCCAGAGGAGGGGCTGGAGAGTTTCAGTTTGGAGCTGGCTGGGGAAATGGAGGGAGCCCCAGGGCAGGGGTCTAAACTCCCTGCCCCCCAAGAGGGACCTGACTGAGGGGGTCCTGTTGTCTGTACCTACAAGCTCTGTGTTGGACTGTGTTCCTGCCATCTAATAAACCTTCTGTTTTACTGGCTGGCTGAGAGTCACGGTGAATCGCAGGAAGTGGGGGGGTGCAGGGACCTGACTCCCGCACACTCCGTGACACCTGGTATGTAAAATCACGTAGGAGCCTGAGGCCCTTGCTTTACACAGGGCTGAAATGGAATTCTCATTTGCCTTTTAAGCTTGACCCTTGCCATCATCAGAAGTACCTATTTTAATTATGTTCTTGCTGCTTCTGCTCCGTGCAGCCTTTTGACACTCTGGATCATTCCACGCTCCTGGATTGCCTCCAGGAGTCATGCAGACATTCACGCTCACCTCCTGTCACAGTTCTGCGCCTATCAAACTGCTCTCACTCAGTCTCCAGTGGCGGCTCTAATTCCACACCAAGACCCCACTGTAAGGCATTCCACAAGCTTCAATTCACAGTCCTCCCTTCTCTTCTACCTACTCATGATAAAATTGACCCCTGTGCGAAGGTACCACTTAGATCTTCAAAACAGGGTTTAAGTAGGATTTAAGTGGTGCTGGCCCTCTACACAGGAATGGATTTGACTCATAAGATCAGCTAAGAATCCAGCTCATAATCTCTAAACGTAACCTTAACCACTTCTACATTGACGATATTCAACTGAACACACATTTTGAATTCTTAACACAGAGTCGTCCTTGTCAACTCCCTCTCCTTGTTCTGACTATATACGCTCGTGGCTTTGTGTCAGCTTCCTACAGGTAAACATCTCAAAGACAGAAGTGTTTCTCTTGCTCAAGAGTATCCTCAAGCAGAACTTCATTCTCTTCTAGCACCCTCGGCCGACTCAGACCTTCTATTTGCCTCTGCTACATAGAAGCTTGGTATTATCCTTGACCCTAAAGTCTCATCTTTCCACATCTACACTTG